ATATAACTAGAGCCGTGAATAAAACGAATTTTCACGGGTGGTTATTTGCCATGCTCATCACCGGTATTCGCATTCACCACGCCTGTGCCGACCCCAACGCTCAGCGGCTGTAGCACGCACACCCGCCGGATCCCCGAGTACCTAGAGACCGTCAGAGATGGACGACGCAGACATGGAGACCAAACGAGGTACGTACCTGCATCCACGTTCTTCTTCCTCTCTTTCTTCGGACTCGCCGCACCCCTGACTCCGCCTCGTATGCACCGCGCGGCTGCGTCGAGACGAGACGCAAGTTGTGCGTGCAGCACCGGCATCCGTGCGAGCACCCGATGTGCTGGATACGAAGGCAGCGCACTCGATGCCGCTCGTGTCCCCATTAATAATCCCTCCTACTCCCTCATCCCTCGTCTTCATTCATCCTCCGCTCCACACTCCCTCTCATCCTCCCTCTTTGACCTTCCGCTTTATGCGCTGTGCTAACGTCTTTCCCAGGTCCCGGCGGTGCCCCCACCAGTATGCCCCTTGCCGCGCACGCATGGGGCAACGGGTACCGCGCAGTGTACCAATTCGACCTCACACGATACGATCGACGACTTCAGCTTCGACGCCCAATTCACGGACACCGACACTGACGCGTTTGCAGCTCGGAACTCCCCTCAATGCCCGCACCGACGTATTGGCCCGGGACTCATCCCCGATGCACCGTCGCCGCTGCTCTGCATGTCAAGATGCTCCATGCGACACGCCGGCTGGTGCGTAATCGCGCCTCAGCTCATTTGGGCTTGTGCACTGACGTCGCCGACAGGTTTCGTACATTATGTATTATATATGTACATTCAATAAACAGATTTTACAGTTCTTCCAAATCGTCTGAAACCCCATCGCGATCCTCGCCCTCCGCCTCCTCTTGCAGCTCGTGGAGGCATCGCGTCAAGAGGTCCAAGGCCTGAACCCATTGCGCTGCCTTCGGGAACCACTCTGCTCGCGGGAGGACTATAAGTAACTCCTTCCCGCTGGTGCCGGGCTTGATGCTTTCGATCTCTGGGTAGGCATCGTCCTCCCACTCGTCCTCCAGTATACCATAGTCCGCGGGCAGATCATCGGGATGCGAAAGGACTTCTTCGAGAAGCTCTCGGAAGATGTCCTCCTGTTCTGCGTCTGCAAACGGGGAGTGGTGCCTTGCCACTTTGATTGGCGCATGGCGGATGTTCTGCGCCAGGTCTGCGCCTATTTGATTCTCGATGGTGTCTTCTGCACCAGGCTCCGTGTCAGACTCGTCTCCATCCTCCTCGTCGTCGTCTGAGGCATGACCAGCCCCCGTCTGGTCACGACGGCGTTGACGGCGAGCACCCGCGGTACCATAGTACCGATTGATAGCATCCGGATGTATGCCATCCAGGGGATCTTGGTGGTAGACGCCCTCCGTGGTCTGACCAAGGAAACGAATGTCCTGAAGCAAGGTTAATAATGTTTCAAGGAATATTCTGAAGACTCACGGCAGGGCTCTGGTCGCTGGTCATGCGACCGGAGATGGGGTGCAGGTTCCACTCGGCTTGGAATTCCTTGCAATCATCGTTCAGGTCGGGAAGGAACAGGCGGTGCAATAACCATAGATGACCGGGATTCTTGCGATCCAGACGGTGCAGGCGACCCAGGCGAGTGAAGAAGGCGCGCCAGCGGCGGGCAAACTGCGTACCCACCTCCACCCACAATCTTTCGATACGAGTGTTGCGGGTCGAGCTGCGGTTATCAGCACATGAACACAGGGAAGAGGATTAGAAAACTCACGAGCCCCACATGAACGATGCCCTGCCGGGACCTCGACGCATCACCATCCAGATTGCGACTTTAGTGTTTTCGCCGCCTCGATCCCCGCGCAATCGGGATGGGACACCGTATGCCTGAATGGCACCCATGAATACTTCGAGCACGGTGGATGCGAGGTTATTGGTGCTAGCTTTGAGGCCAGTAACCTATAGACGAGTCAGTCCATGAATCGCACGAGAATTCAAAGCTACTCGCCGTTCGACAGTAACCGTCAATGAAGCCGTGGATCACAATCCCCCACCATATAAGCTTGTGATGGCCATCACAATGCCATAGGTAATTCGGACGGGGAACTTTATAGCGACGCCGCTTGATAGCGAGATGCGTTCGGAGCGCCTGACCAAGGGAATCCACTCTTTTCAGAGAGTGGCGTGCCCTCTCCCGCTGGACACGGAGGCCGTTGCGTCGGAAATGGCCTCGGAGGTATCGCAATCCGGAGGCTGGCTTCTTAGCTTTGTACTGACGGGTGATAGCGTCCAGCTCGTCGTCGTCCAAGTCGTCGAATCTCTTGTCCACCCCCAGTTCCCGCATTCGCTTGCGCAAAGTGTGGCGATGGACCCCGAGGGCTGCTGCAAGTGTACCGATCTTGATGTTACGGTTTGACGCCGTAGCCTCTCTGAGATATTCGGGATTGATATTCTTCCTGGGACGGCCGCGTTTGCCGGTGCGTTCATTCGAGACGGGCTGCAAGAGCTCAATGTCATCGCGTTCTCTGGTGCATTAGTCAAAACTGGTATCACAGACAGGTTGTCGTAGGACGCACATTCCTTCTGCCGCGAGGGCAGCAACTTGAAGCTCGTAGACCAGAGGTCCAAGGATATAGGCGCATTCATCGATCCACGGTCGCGGAACCTCGGCTTCCATGCCCTCTAAAACCGGGACCATGTTGTCGACTATATTTGACGACAGCAGCCTGTAACGGAGAGTATCGCTGTCTTCCTCGCGAAGGGATTGGAGGGCTCGGACATAGGTGTTGTTGAGGACTTGGCGAGCCGTAATGACATTGGCCGACCATGGGTTTGCACCAGGAGGAAGGACAGGTAGGTTGTCAGGAAAGTCAAAGCCTTCCATTCTGCGGGAGCATGAAGAGTGAAGGAAACGAAGAAAATGATGTGATCACGACTGCATCTTTTTCTTCCGACCTCGACCATGACGAAGACGGCGAGGCATTCTTGGCTGTATTTCAAGGATGGGACTCTCACTCTGAAGGTGAGCAGCTTCATGGCATTGATATATCAAGTCTAATAATTTTAGACAGCGGACGGCACCCTGTTTAATGTCTACCGACATAATCTCATCGCCAAAAGTGATTTCTTCAGTGCAATGCTCACCATGCCTGCTCCAACCGCACCTGCTGGCTCCCCGAATGCAGGTACCGTCCTGGACGGTACTAGCGACAGCACTGCGTCACCGATCCCCGACCAATTCTCCGCTGCCGAATGCGAAACGTTCTTGGAGTTCGTTTTCCGTACGCGAGCGTGCGTTCCTACACTCATTTAAATATATTATCGCAAATGCTTACCATCGTCAAGTAGTTGGACACCCGTTATTCCACCCGTCAACGATCTCTGCGCCATCCTGAAAACCAGCACCTTCTTCGCAGTAGAGACGGGAATCCAATACGCGGTGCATCATCTGGAGGGAAATCTGGGATTCGGGGCTGCGTTGCGGTTCAGAATGGGGTGTGATTACCACATCCTGCCGTGGATTGCGCAAGCGTTTGATGAGCTTGTTGCCACGCCTGTAACCCTCCTCACCGAAGAGGACGAGGGGCTTCTGGGTTCGGACGCCTTCAGGGCGCTTGCTTTGGCACAGGCCGCCGTCACCGACCACCGGGTGACACTCGCCGTCTGTCCTCCGAAGCCGACCCACGCCAGTTGGTGTCACGACACCGTGTACTGTACGAACCAATGGAACACCACATGGACCTCTACGGCCGGTGTCCTGGGCTGGCTCATCAAGGACGAGCTCGCCGGGGCGGAGATCCACGACTCCAAGCTCGAGCAGTTGTCGGTGCCCGGCATGACTGGCGAATGCCGTTTGTTGACCTGTGGCAACATCCGAGAGGCTCCAGGGAGGCGGAGTGTGCTGAAGGAGGAGGAGGTGATCATTGACGAGGCAATAGCGAGGCTCATGAGGTGGTAGCTTAGACTTCCGTACGTTGGTCGTGAAGTGGCGTGAAATTCGGTTAAAAACGGCGCGCGAAGGTCGGTAAATAGTGTGTGAAAGTCGTAAGAAAGAGCGCGCGAAAGACACCCGAAAAGTAGCGCGCAAGGTCAAGGGAAAAGAGCGCGCGAAAAGCTGAGAGAAGAGCGCGTGAAAAGCTGAGAAAAGAGCGCGTGAAAGTGATTTATGTAGCGCGCTTTGCGTTTGTTGTGCGAAGATTAAATGTACAAAGTGAACGTCATAATCGGAGAACTAACATCGTTCATATCAAAATCTGGCTGTGCTCTTCAAAAATTGCATATTACCGATGACAGATTGGTACGAATGCGCTCGTATCATGAAGCATTTCCATCGATTCAGGTGTTGTTTGAAGACGAGGAGGAGCCGGCGCAGGAGGAATGATGAATTGGACATTAGGCTCCGTGAGTGCTACAAGTCCTTTCGTCCTTCGTTTTCGTACCGATGCCTTTGACAGCGGCGCAAGAGGCTCTAAATGGCTGTACATGTTCCGCTGTGTAGTTTATTATTTTTCACAATGGTACATCAGTTTTCTCTTTTTTGCGGCATCTGAGCCTTGAGCTTGAGCTTGTGGGCCCACTTGCACGGGCTTGTGCCAGCCATATGCGTCAACTTATACTTGCCGTTCAAATTAGCAGCCTTGAAGCTTTTCGTGGCTCCTTTCGTGGGTTACGAAAATGTGGGTGTTCGACGTTAAGACAGAAATGAGAGAACTTTTGTTGCGTTCGGGTTTATATTCACTGTATGTGTCGCTGCTGGTCTTTTTCAACAACCCCTGGACCGAAATGCCCGAGATTGACCTCGGGTGGTTGAAATTCAACAAAGAGATCTGACGGGAAGATGCACACCATCTCAGATGTCACGGGGCTCCTAGGCCTGCTCACAGCTCTAGAGTCTCGCCGTTATATACGATTTAGAGCCAGCATATCGTGGGGGATTAGACCACAGCAGGAAGCATAGAACAAATAGAACAAAATTACAAAAGGTTATTCCGGTACGGGGAGTCGAACCCCGCGCACGTGCGTTAACCACAATAATTGACCATTATGAAAAGCACATATGTTAACCGATACACCATACCGGACGTGTAGGGCGTTCTCGTCCTGGGGCTAGAGCCAATGGTTGTGGACCTCAGTTGAGTTAAAGACCAAGAATATTTCGTCCACTTTTGAAAAGCAGTCACCGTTCCTCGAGACTTAGGTCTTTCAATATACAGATTAGTGTGGGTCAAAGAGGATAAGTATTTCCAAGATGAAGGGGTATAACGATGCAGTGTGGATACATTAGGGATAAATACAATAAGAGTGAGTCGGCCGTCGCCTCCTCTACCCATAGCCAAAGATCGCCCCAAGCATCTCCTTCCATCCCCGCTTCAGGACCACAGTCGCGCCCCCGCCGTACTCCAGCGCCAACCACTCCAAATACCGCGCATCTAGCCCGCTCATGGGCCCGAGCTCAAACGCCGGCATGTCCTTGGACGTGAGCGAGATGACCCTGTTGTGCGCCATGTCGGTGGGGAGGAAGGACTCGAGCGTCGACAGCTGGAACGCGGTGTGCGCGTGCAGGGTCTGCAGGAGCGACAGCGTCGTCAGGATCTGCCCGTCCCGCCGCGCCGTGTCGTACGTCTCCTCCGTCTCATCCTCATCCAGCACGGGTGGGGCAGCCGCGACGCCCTTGCCCTTGGCGTTGGCGCTGCCCACGGCAGGCGACGCAGGCGGGTTGGTGACGGTCGCCTTCCCGCTGGACCACGACATCCCGCTCGCGCGCCTCGTCGACTTGGTCGACGTCCGCGCGAGGCTGCTCCCCACCTTCGGCCCGCCCTCGATGCCCATCCCCACGCTCCGCACATGCCCGCCCGGGCTCGACGCAGCGGCCTCAGCACTGAGGGCACGCAAGCTGAGGTCCTCGTCGCCCTCCAGCCGCACGCTGCCCCAGTTCGCCGCGCCGTCCGCGGTGGAGTACGACATGATCGAGTTGCCGCGCCACGAGCCCATCCAGAGCCCCGCGCAGATGACGCACACGTCTTCGTAGACGCGCCACGCGTCCGTCCACACCGTGACGGGGTTGGAGGACGGCTTGGCCGTGGGGTCTTGCGATAGCGAGGCGAGCGTGCAGCAGGAGTGGTCGTGGGCGGACGAAGAATCGAGTTGTAGGATGCGATTGAGCTCGTTCCACTGTGGGTGATGAGGACTGGATAATATGGACTGCATGAATGCTCACCAGCTTGATGTCGCTCCACGCGAAACGGACGACGGACAGACGATGCGTGGGTCCTCTGGGGACCCCAGACGACGTGGGCTGCACCGGGCGTGAGGCGTAAAATGTCGGCCGCGTGGCCTTGTTTGGCGTCGAGGTAGTCAGATCGATGAGCAGGTCGTAGCATGCGGGCTTCTCCAAGAAAAGAGCATCAGTCGTGCCTGCACAGTTGTCAGCGAGAATGAAAAGACGGGGAGGAGGAACGCACAAGCCACCCAGCCGCGCCCGCTCTCGCCTTCGCGCTGCATCCGATCAAAGTCATTGAGGGTCACCATCCCGAGGACGCTGATGCCTTCCGTGCACTTGCCGCGCAGACGCGAGGACGGCGAGCCAAGGGACGTGGTGTATTCGACCTGCTGCTCGTAGCACATGTCTGCGGCCACCTGGCAGAGAATCGACGCAGCTTCGACCGGGGGCAGGGTATAGATCAGGATGCGTCGTCGCCCGACGACGTGCTTGTAGAGCGTCAGCGAGGAGGGGCCAAGGATCCGCAGCAAGTGGGGCAGATGCAGCGTCGGGTTCTGCTCCGTCACGTCGTCGTCGATCTGCTGCAGCGTCAGTAAGGAGCCAAAAGTAGAGGGAGGCAATCTACCCGCTCCAGAAGCTCGTGGCTCCACCCATTCCAGTCTCCCGCCCCTCCAAGATCTGCCCGAACGACTTTGCGCTCATTGAAGAACGCACGCGCGGGGTCCCAATCGGTGTCGGTGGGAATCAGCGACGCGGAGCTTTCGAATTGCGAGTAGATCAGCGTGGTCAGCTCCTTGAGCGCAGCCGTGTGTCTCCACGGCCGAGGGCGGGCAGATTTGGCGAGGAGGATTCCGAGGGACGAGAGCCGGAACCCTCTGTGTCCGTGGTCGACGGTTTTTCGCCGCCGGAAGACGCACACACCGTGTTGGCCATCTTTGGTGAAGTAACTGGGGAAAGTTCAGCGTCAGAGCAAAACAGGGTATCCCAGAAGATAGGCATCGGCCCTGTTTTGCCCGTGTCGCACTTCGCGGCTGCGCGCCGCCGGCCAAGGAGCATCGGAGATACGCGACACAAGCATCCGCAGTACCAGTTCTGAGGGAAAGCAAAACAAAACGCACACGACATCTTCCTCGACGAGGTGCAGTCCACTCGGAAGGGCGCTAAATTCCAAGTGTTCGAGGCTTAGGTCTGATTTTTCACAGTCAGAGGTTGTCTAGTCGTATGCGTGTCTCGCACCATCGTTTGCTTTCAACGACCAGTCAATTATATTCCCTTGTCTGCGCAAGGAACCGTCAGCTCAATATCGAAAACCACACGGAATTGGGCATACGTTGGGTGAAAAGATGCGTGGAATATGGCAACGATATCCTGGGGATACCGTCCCTTGGAGTCCAGGGAAGACATGGGCGAAAACGAGCGCAAAGGAGCAGAGGCGGAGCACAAGAGCCGAGTCACGGTGTGACCAGCGTGACCAATCGCCCTCCATGTCGCAGCCGCAGCAAGTCAGCATTACCGACTTGGACCTCCCCCAGCTCGCCGACGTCCGCAGGCAGCTCGAAGAGGTGACCCCACGGAAGCTCTGGGCGGTCTTAGACCCATCTGATCGCGTTTCTGACCTCAGGAATTGAATCACCTTACAAACTCCTTCGCCCAGCTAAAACAAGCCCAGGCGAAATTCAAAACATGTATCGAGAATGTCACCGAGATAAAACCGACCAATAAAGGTGGGATCGAGTGTTCATGCCCTCTGTGGGGCTGACCTGGAGTCCGATCAGGCAAAACCATCCTTGTGCCTTTAACGAATTCTCTATACGTCCCTGGGAAGCTGTCGGACCCAGATCATGTCATCGTGGATGTCGGGACTGGTTATTTTGTCCAAAAGGTATATATATGTTCTCGCCCTACTCCCTGTGCTAATTGATTCCGACTTGCAAGACGCGACAACAAGCTGTGAAGCATTATTCGGCCAAGGTCGATTACATCCGGACAAATCTGGAGACGCTCGAGGACACGATAGGCAAAAAGCGGGACAACGTGAATTCTGTAGTCAATATAATGCAGGCGAAACTGCAGCAGCAGCAGCAGCAGCAGGCCGCGTCTTGATTATCTCGTGAGCCGAATTCACACCTTTGTTTTTTTAGACCGTCGTCGATCACCTGCTGCTCTGGAAGATCGACCGATACCTGTTCGCTCTCGCTCGATCCCATAAACACAATCAATCTGTTTGCTTTCCTGCTTGGACCTTGTCTTTTCGCGCGCACTTTCCATCTGGTCCTCGAATGACGTAGGCGAGTTTCTCTGGGCCGGCGGGCCTAACATTGCAAAGCTCGAGGGCTTGTTTGTGAGGGTAGACGCTCGAACAGATGAAGCACTTGGAGGTCACCTCCCAAAACACCGCTTGCCTGAGGTTGCCTTACACCTGCTGACACGGCTTGTCCAAAATAACCCTGGATCATTCATCTCAAGCCCACTCACTGTCGGTAAAGTACTCAAATGCATGTTGGGATCAACAAAAAGTCCAATGCCAACGCCAACGTTCATGATACAAGATACAAGGTTAGCGCGAGAGGGTATCTGTTTTACATCGGGCTGTCCGTTTCTGATCAACGAACTGCCCACGATGCATATGCCCCTGAACAGTTCGATGATGCTCTGTCTTGCATGAGTTGCAGTCGCAACTATCCGAAGCTAATATGTACACTCATGCCATTCTGTTCCAAACTTCGTGCAAGTTATCTACGGCAGGTCATTCCGCTCACGCTGGGAGTAGGGGACCTGGCGTCCTTCCCCCAGAGACGATTGTCCCGCAATGTGTAACAATAACGGCTCTTCACAGCCTGTGCGTCTGTCTCCCTTTACGAGCACCGGCCATTTCGCTAACGAAATCAATTCACTCAGCCTCCGATTGTAAGGGCGGCCTTGCTTGGTGATTCACTAGAGTGATCCAAATTTTTAGCACCTCCATGTCCAATCGGACAATTCGATAACTATCACGAACCTGGTAGACTTGGGGGTTCAGAATGGCACTTTCACAACCTTTCAGGTCGCCCTGCCACTAGGTACGCTCAGACTTGGCATGTTTAGTGACTCAAAACGTTTGGCAGGACAAAATTTTAGCTTCGCTTATAATATCATCGCCCCTTCACGGTGTCTCGATGTCAGCCGAACCGCGAAACGTAGGATTTAATCCGATGCGACTTTCAGCGACGATCATGCAAGTGGGCCCGGGTCGAGCGGATGCCTTGAAACACCAACTTACTCGCCTCGACTGCCGTTGAAAACGGAGCAGCGGTGCTCCAGCATCAACAAATGGTCAAACCCAGGCAACGCCGATCGTTCAAGTTGGCTCGGGGTCCGCTCGCACATCTGCATCTAGCCGGTAGACGCGCTTGTTGGAACTATCTGCACCGTAGCCGCGGTGATCTTGACAGCAGTGGCGATTTTCTGGAAAGCATATCGGCGCTTGAGCCAGCGTTTTTTCAGATCTGCATGCCGATCCAGAACGTTCAATGGCGAGCACCAGGGCGAAATCCTTCCCGCCCCAGATCCCTCGCGGGGATCCAATACGTACGTCCTAATTTTCAACACGCTCGTCTACTTTGCACTGACAGACGAACGCCGCTGTAGCCTACACTGAACGTCCCACTCCGAACGCGACCCGCGCGACGAAGTCTATGCTTTGGGCAAGGGAGCGCGAGAACTCGTTTAACAGCAGCTCCGCCGACGACCGTGGCTCCCGGCAGCAGAATATAACCGTAGGAATCCCCCAAACGCGGAAGCTTGTTCTCAACTCTCCCGTTACGCCCGCCTCGGCGGTGTCCTCCCGCGGGTGCACATCGATGGCGGTGTACGTATCAGCAA